TTTTTTAGATACTTTTAAAATGAAAGTAAATCATCCAGTTTAAATATTGCATTCCTGTATCCAAAACCTGTGTGTTTTAATTATTATTTTTTTTTTCTCAGACCTGGAAAACAAGATGGTTCACTTTGCACAGAAATGAACTGAAATACTTCAAAGACCAGATGGTGAGAAACATCGCAATCCATTTTCCCTTTAAAAATCAACTCTCTAGATGGAAGAAATATCTTCCCTTAAAATCTCTGAAATTCTCTTCATGTCCACCTGAAACACCCAACAAATGATTGGAGATATGAGTTCTTGATTCCTGATGTGAGCAGAATTCTTTTGCAAAGATGAGATGCATATTCCAAAAGTTGCTCTTTTGGACTATAGCTCCTCAAGGCACATAATTACTCTGGGTTAGGACAATAGAATTGTTCTCTCACCACAGTTTATTAACTGTCTCTCTGCAGCAATTTCCCCCTTTATTAAAAATCAGTTTCTATCTCCCAGGTCCATTTTATTAGGCCAATTTAAAATTATTCAGTTTTGTTTTCCTTATACAAAATTTCTGAGAAAGTAGAAGTTTTAAAAAATGTGAGAAAAATAGGACTCTCATGTTTTAAAATCCATCTTCGTGAAATATAAATTGATAAAGGCAATCTCTTAATTCCCAGTCTCATCAAGGCTAATTCCAAAACCAGGCGGTGTGGGACTTCTGTTAATCTCTTCTGTTATCGGTCCTCTTAGTGAAAGGAAAATTGACCGTTGCACCTAGCAAAAAACTTGTTAGGGGAAGAAATAATGGACAGATTTGTGTGTTTTTTATGATGATATAGGTTTTTTTGTTTTGTTTTCTGTTTTTCTTTTTTTTTAGTCTCCAGAACCAATTCGGATCCTAGACCTAACAGAATGTTCAGCTGTACAATTTGATTATTCACAGGAAAGGGTAAACTGTTTTTGGTAAGTTGTTGTATAAAGGAAATGTTTCTAAAAGTCTTCTTGCCAGACACTTAGTTTAGCTAAGGAGTAAAAAGCTATGTGTCTTACTCTCTACAATGCAGGAAGGTGCATACTTGTTAGGAGTGCTCTCAGCTGAGTGTGACATAATATCTCATTTAAAGTGGCTTAAACAAATGAGCAGGTCAATTGGGTTTAGGTTGTGCACTGCACAAGTAGAACACGCATAAGAGGATGCCATTCACATCCTAGACAGCTTCATTTCTTTGAGAATTGTTCCCAATTTTAATTATAAGTTTGTTGACTCTAATGATGGGTGGTTTGTATTCTTAGGACAATTTATGGCAGATGGCACCAAAAGTGTTTTGTTCTAATATAATCAAGTATAGTATGAAATTTTTCTAACTAGGAGAAGTATCTTGAGAAAAGAGTGTCTTATTCCCTCTACCTTTTATTTTAGAGTTTTTCGAGCATACTCAAGTTGAAAGACCTAAATATCTGTGTACCCTTCACCTAGATGCTTCAGTTATTAATACTTTTTCATATTTGCTTTATTCTCATATATTCACTTTTTTCCTGAACCGATTGAAAGTAAGTTGCAGACATCATTGACTTTCCCCCTAAATACTTGAGTATGTGTCTCCTAAGAATAAAAATGTCACTATAGACCCATAATATCATTATTACACCTAAGAAAATTAACATTAATTCTGCAATATCAACCAACAAAGGATATCTTTTTAAAATTCACAGAGAGGTGCCCCATGAGCTAGCAGAGGTTTATTTTTGTCGTAACAGGAAGTCAGGAGGCACGCAGCTACCACGACAAGGTCAGGTCCAATGTCTCTACAATTCTCTTGGCATTTTCTGCTGGCTACTTCAGGACCCAAGTGGCTCCTACAACTTTAGGCCTCGTGTTTTCAATGAAGCACAAAGAAAGATCTAGGAATGGTGTCAGCCATGTCTGTTCCTGTTTATCGGGAAAGCCAATGTTTCCCCAGAAACTCCCCATCGGATTTCCCCTCATAGCTCATTGGCCAAGACTGGGCGCCGTGGCCATCCCTGGCAGCAGGGAAGGCTAGAAAAGAGTGATACTATGATCATAATTGGCTTAAACTAATTAGGATTTATTGCCTGGGATTCCGTTTGCAAGAAGAAAGGGAAAATTATCTGCATTAATAGGCAATTAATAATGTCTCCCCGAGGGAGTACCAAACAACGACGATTTCAGAAACCAGTTTCATAGTGTCTGCACAATGTCAATATCACTCCCTCCCCACCACTGCCCACCGCGCCTCAGCTGGACCTCACGTCAAGGTTTACCCTCCATACATGGGCTGTTACCTCTTACCTGTTCAACATTAATTGCTGATATCAACAAAATATGCTGCCGAGGCTTTAGGATATAGAAACCCTTCTGAAGTCTTTTTTTTATTTTTTTCACAAAAGGAAAAATGATTTTTAGTATTTTGCATCTCAACTGTTAAGTACAGGAAGTATGGGCAAGATACAAGTTAGGGCTGACCTTATGACTCACATGATTTTGGCTACATAGCAGAGACAGTCAAATGGAGAATGAATATACACCTAGGGAAAGACTTTCGTGCCCATAGAAGGTTCATCTTCCCTCCAGCAGACACTAGCTCTTGGGCAAGCGATGGGAAAAATAACTAGTTGAGAAGTCTTACTATCTCTGTTTCCTGTCCTAATAATTGGAACTTCCTGCATCCACAGAAGGCAGAGGTATCCTCACTGAAGCAAACTAACACAAATGAGTTCTTTTAGCAAACTCTCTTATCTTGCTTATTCTTTGAACGATAGCATGGGTTCTGAATCATTTGAGAGACCAGCTGGATAAACATGTGGGACATGAGCAACAAAAGGATGGGGGCGGTATCCTGGACATGTTTCTCTCTTCTTTGAGGTCTCATTAGAGTATAGGATCTGGCCTGTCATGATAAGACGCAGCTGCAACTTCCTCAACGTGACTTCAGTTTGCTGGCAGGAATAGTTCCATATATACCAATCCTCCAAGTTGCTTATCGGGGCTCTTTATCAACTCCTTTATCCCTTGGAATATTCTAATTAGTGTTCAGCTGATACACACACACACACATACACACACACACACACACACACACACACAAACACACACATACAACTAACCATCTGGAGTAGCTGATGTTCTTTCTTTTTTATCTTATCAGCTTAGTCTTTCCATTCAGGACATTTTATCTCTGTGCAAAGACAGGAGTAGAAGCTGATGAATGGATCAAGATACTACGCTGGAAACTGGTGAGTTATAAAAGTCTCCAGATGCCTGAGAAATAACAGGTTGATGATTTCCAATGTATTTCTGTTGAAAGAGTCAGACCATCCCGAAGAATCACAGGATGTCTACTTGCAGGCTTGTGGAATAGTCTGTTCCTTCTTCTAGGACGTGGGAAGAGACAAAGACAGAGATATGAAACAGGAAGAATGGAGCTGTGTGCTGGTCTCAGCCCAAGCCTCAGCCAGGTGCCCCAGCAACTATAGTCACCCCTCAAGTTGTGCAGGTTACCCCAGTTTTGTCTGGGGTAGGACATTTGGGACCAGAAGGTCTCACAGAGGAAAGTTAAAGTATTTCTCCAGTTGAAAAGTCTTTTAAATTGTCAGAAAAGGAAGCTTGTCAGAAGAACTTAGCTAAGTTTCCAGTGTGAGTTATCCACTTTGTGCAGGTCGAGGATAAAAAGGTGGCTTATTTTACCTGCTTTCTAAACACCTCCCAGGGGAAGACAAAGGAAGTGCTGATAAAATTTACCAGTCTCATACATTTTCTGCATGTGTTTGCAAGTTAGTAAGTTATTAGCCAAGAACTTGTCCTTACAGATGACTAAAATTTCCTGGAAATACTGTCTTGAAACCCTTGATGTTTTCAAAAACCATTTTTCCTAATTGTTTTTTGTGAAATTATCCACTATATAGGTGCTCTTTCGAAACTGAGAATCTTGTTGAAAATTCCTTTCTAGATACTTAGACTTTTGCTTCTGTTTGTCTTTTCAGTTTGAAATTTAAATAAATATACCACTCACTTTGAAATTTTTCCAATATATTTGATATTTAGTGTGGAGATACTTTGCCATATGAAACCTTTGCTCAGATATGAATTAATTTTTTATTCTTTCTGTTTTGTAATTGTCCAAGTGACGCAAAATCATTATAAAAATATATAAAATGTACGCACTTTTAGACTTCTCCTTATGTAAATATTTAAACACAAAATTTAATTATTCTCTAGTGTTCTTTACTCATTCTATTTAACAATATGTTATGAACATCTTTCCGTATCAATAATTTCAGATCTATATCTTTCTTTGAGTCATTGAATAGTATTGTATTTTATGTTTTACTACAAATATTAGGGCAATTCCCAATTTCTACATGTTTTAGCAATCACTTTACAATATGCGTTCTGAGAAAAATACAGAAAACAAGATTAGAAACTTGGTGTGGGGCACATGATATTAATAATTAATTTATAGTTGTATGACTTCCTTGCTAATCAGTATGTCTTATTTTAAGTTTGTTAGAAGCCGGAGTTCATTATCTTAAAATCACTCAATAATAGATACACATACGTGTGTTTTATTACAGTCACAAATAAGAAAACAGCTCAACCAAAGGGAAGGCACAATCCGATCTCAGTCATTCATCTTTAAATAGATCTTTGTCAGCGAGCACCGCCCTGGCCCAGGACATGGTGGAACACGCCCCGATGCTGCGATCCATAGCAGGCTTCAGACCAAAGCTGACTAAGGATTTTTCCCTAAAAACAAATCAAAAGCAGGTACTGTTTGGGATCCACGTGCCACGTTTGCTGACTCACGGGAAACTGCTGTCCTTCCAAGATGTCGCCGTCTCCTTGAGAAAACTGAAGCAGTCGTCGTTCTGATAGAAACTGATCACACCCACTCTCAGAACACACAGTGTAAGACGAAGGGTTTGTGTTTTCACTCACTGTGGTCCCCAAGCCTGTCGACATCAGGGGACCCACAGTTGACAGGAGTCTCGCTCTGAGTCATGGTCAGCCCCTGTGACACCCAGGTTGTGCTATTAACCAGGAAGGAAACCGTTGTATACTTAGAGGCCTAGACTACTTCTTCAGAAATTATATTGAGATAGCAAACATCAAAGATTTTCAGGGGAAAGGTTGTTTTTTTGCTTTTTTTCCCCCTTTATGCAAAAAACAAAAACAGTTTCCAAAACTAAAATGGAAAATGTTTGTGGTATTTATTTTCTCTTTCTAAAAGGCTCAGAAACGCAGTGGGTCCTTCATTTCTAATGACAAAACTGTGAGAACTAAATGGGCAATGAGATAGTACAATAAAGATACATGAATGTACAATTTTAAAAACATCTCTTTCAACCATTTGGGGGAAATGTTTTAAAGAGTGAGAAAACACACATTGAAGGGTGATAAAGTAGTAGATAACTTGTAGTTTAGTAATAATTATTGTTATTATAGTAATAATAATGGGGTACTTGTAAGCACTAAGTTATCTTCATTCAACATTTCTCCAAAAGGACTGGGAGACTTCTCAAGGAGAGTGTGTTCTAACAATCCCTTCATGAGAATTAGCTGTATCGGGCTGGCCCAAGGGATGTAAGAGTCACCCGAGCCCCCTGTTGCACCTTATTAAACAGCCATTTCTGTTGCCAGTTAAGGGAGTAACACTAAATGTGTATGAAATATCTAATAATGTGTTACATGGCTTTTTCAAACTAGAATAAGGGGACCGAAACAGGAGAAGGAGACACTGATGCCCAGAGCTCATAAACAGATTCTGACCCCTTCTACTGCCTTTATTAATACTGCTTTTTTAGATAGAAGTTTGAAGGGAGACAAAAATGAATGAAGAGCCCAAGAATAAAAAGATTCTGGTGCAAAGCTATGCTATAAATTGCTCTTGCAATCCAAAGGGATATCTTGTTCAATAAGTTTCTTCTGTTATTTAAACATCTAAGACTCAGAAATTTCACAAACTTTTTGGATATTTCAACAAGGT